AGTTCAAATCCCAGCTTTTCTGCTTACCAGCTGTGAGACAGGATAAACTGTTTAACTTCCCCAGACCCCAGTTTTCTCACCTATGAAATGGGAATAACAATATCTCCTTCATGGGTAATGGTCCATTTAAAGTACCCGACACAGCTGGGGACTCGGTAAAGTTTACTTTTCCTCTGGACCTCTCCTGCACACCACATGTCTGGGATTTAGAAGGTGAGGGGGCCCTCAAGCTCTGGTGTGTATCATCATTCCCTGAGCATTTGTGAAAAATACAGATGCTCAGGCCCCACTGACGTTGCTGTGAATCTGCTCTCTGGGGTTGATGGCCTAGGAGTCTGCATTTTAGGAAACTCCCATGTGATTCTTATACCATTCCAAATCTGAGAGTCACTGGCGTAGTGCAAAGAACCCCAGGGAAGGAGTTTTAGTTCTGGCTCTACCAGCAGTACTTTTCCTCTTAGTGTCCACTTGCCCACATGAATGCGGCTAAGAGTCTTGCCTAGCGTGCCTCATGGAGGGTGGGGTGTGCTTGGGAAACGGTGAAGCCAATGCTGACATGAGCAGCTGGGGTGGTCAGAATGGTGCACTCGTGCACTCTCTCCTTGGGCAGAGATGCATGGGCAGAGAAGAAGCCTCTGGAGTCAGGGTGGGAATGGAGAGAGGCGATGGCAGAAGGAGGAGAAGCAGGTCTGGTTCCCTCAGGCCCCTCCAGGAATGGCCAGGAAGCCCAGGGGCTGCCCGTGCAGGACAGAGGAGCCCAGCACTCAACCCCAGCATGAGCTCATCACCTGTGAGCTGTGTAACCTGTCCCAGCAAGATAAAAGGAGGAGAGCGCATTCCTACGGCGGGACCCACAGCAGCCAAAATCCCTTCTGAGAAGCCAGTGGGAAGAGCGGGGAAGAATCCTGATTATGCCCAAAGCAGGAGCCCCCCCATTCCCCTAGGGCCCTCCCAGAACTCTGCCTCTCCCTCCTGGGTGCCGCAGACATCCTGGCCAGCCTCACAGCCTCCCTAAACCCTGGAGGTGGATGGGGTCTCCATTTTTCAGACTGTAAATTAAGGCCCAGAAAGGAGAAGGGGACCCCTTGCCCAGAATTTCTTAGTGACTCCTCAGCCCAAAGCTCCCTAAATTCTTGTGCCAATGACAGAGTAATGCTGGAGGAAAACTTTCCCCTCCCTCCCTCCTAGGTTCTTTGGCTGGCCTGACAATTCAGTGGATGAAATACAGATTAACAAAAGAAAAACATTTCATACATATGGAAGCCCCATTAAAAATGAGACTCAAAGAAGTAACCAAAGCAGGCAGCTTTTATACCTTTTAGACAAAGAAACAATAAATCTAGGAAGAATTGACAAGTCCAAAAATACACTGGAGGGAGTAAATGAGTGAGGAAGTAATAAGGTGCGTTCGCACAATTTCCTCAGCCCTCAATTCCCTGTCTCTGGTGTTCAGGGTGTCTCCCTTCCTCCTGGTTCATGGGGAGCACCTTTCACATGGGAGATTTATTTCCTGCTTTCAGGGGCACAAAGGAGGTCAGAGTATCCTTCTTGCGCTCGCTGTTTCTCAAATAACTTTAATTCAAGATAATCAATATACCAAAGTGGCACATGTTGGGGTGGCAAATTCTGCTCTCCTTCAGGAGCCAGGACAAAAAGGAGTGTCCCCCCCTTACCCACGGCGGGTACGGTCCAAGACCCACGGTGGATGTCCGAAACTACCGACAGTACCGGACTATATATATATATATATATATATATATATATATATATGTCTTTTCCTGTACATATGTCTCTATGATAAAGTTTAATTTATAAATTAGGCACAGCAAGAGATTAACAACAATAATAATGAAATGAAACAATTAGAATATACTGTAATAAAAAGTATGTGAAGGTGGTCTCTCTCACACAAAATATCGTACTGTACCGTACTCACCTTTTCGCTTTACAAGAAGCACTTCCAGACTTTTCTTTGGCATATCCGAGTTGCCCACCTCAGTACTCTTGCTCTGAGGGGCCGTTATGAAGTAAAATAACGGCGACTTGAACACAAGAACAACGAGCGAGCAGTACCACCACAGTTGATCTGATAACCAAGATGGCTGCTAAGTGACTAATGGGCACGGGGAGAGCAACAGCTGTGGAGATGCCAGGTGAAAGGGATGATTCCCGTGAGATGGCGCGAGATTTCGTCACAGTACTCAGAATGGCAGGCAATTTAAAACTTATGAATTGTTTATTATTGGAACTTTGCATTTAATGTTTTCCCACCAAGGTTGCCCATGGGTATCCGAACTGCAGAGAACCAAACTGCCAATAAGGAGAAACTTCTGGAGTATTTCCATCAGAGAGGACAAACCCAGATCAGAGGTGACATGGAATTTATCCAACAACACACAGTAGAGTTGAGCCTCAGACCAGAATCTCTTATTACAACCAAGCCACGTATTTTTATTCCCACTATAGATAAGAGATTGGGCCAGATGACCCCTTGCCCTGCCCAACTCAACCTTTTAGGATTCCAGAGCCCGGCCCTATTCTTTCAGGTTTATCTCCTTCTGGTTCCCTCAATGAATGAACAGCTCAAGCTAAGTTGGCCTCCTCTCTGTCCCCAGAGCAAACCTCCAGACTTTCCATTTATTTTCTCTGTTCCAAACTTCCGTCCACCCCACTCATTGGTGGACTTTTAGGTACTGGCCAGCAAAGTGGGAAGGAGGAGGAAGCTGTCATGAAATCTCCTTTGTCCTCTGTCACTGACGATAGACATGACCTTTTTAGCAAGTGACTTAACTTTTCTGTGCCCCCGGTTCCTGTTCTGTCAGTTACTACACTAGATAACAGCTGCTTAGAACAGCACCTGGAAAACTCACAGCATCAGAATAACGTCCTCTGTTATGAATAGCTCTTATTACCAGAAACAATAGGGATTTTTTTTTCAGTGCTATAGCAGTTTAATTTTCACACTCACAGATTATATAACATTCATTATCAGTAGCACAAAAATGACACCCTATGAGATTTGCTAAAGAACATATGGGAAGTGACCAGAAACAATAGGGATTTAATGATTTCCTTTTCCACTCACACAGTAGGCATGACGGGCTTATAACTTAATATAATAGCCCTTTAGGTGACATAATTGTGGAGCAAAATGCACTAAAGGACATGAGACGATAGATGCTAGGGAAGTTTAGAAAGGGAAGGATTTGGGAAGGCTTCCTGGAGGGGTGGCTAGGTGAGCGGGGCTTGGCCTGAGCAGAGAGGACAGCAGGGACAGTCCCCGGAAGCCAAGAGCATCATGTGAACATCAGCCTGGAGGTGCCAATGGGCACAGCCTGAGCCTCATTAACTACTTCAGGTGAGCAGGGAGTCGGCTCCCAGGAAGACCGCCACCGATGACAGACCTGCCAACTATACTGGGAGTTGGCGGCTCTGTCGATGTTTTCCGAAGAATAGAGTCATCTCCAGGTCCTGGAGGTAATGAGAAGTGACAGATAGTCTGTTGAGCAGAATGGAGCATTTGCTTCCCCAGCTTGCAACGTTTGCTTCCTGGACAGATCTGTGAGTGTCCCCAGCCCCTCCCCAAACCCTCCCAGGGCTGAGTTAGTTGGGAATCATCTTTGCAAGAGGCAGAAACCCAGTGAAGCTTGCCCAGGCGTAAAGGTGAATGGGGGAAGATTCGGGGATATTTCAGGGAAGGCAAGGGCCCCTGCCAGCTGGACCTTGGGAAAAGCTGGAAAAATACGGAGAGCCAGGGAAGGGGCTGTCTCTCTTTTATCACTTCTGTCTCTCTGAACCTCTCTCTCACTCTCCGCCCCACCACCACCACCCCATTCCAGTCTCTCCCTCTCTGTCTCTCATGTGCGTCTCTCTCCATCTCTTTATGTCTATGTCTCTCTGATCTTCATTCCAATCTCTTTCACCCTCTAAGAGTTTCTCTCCCTCCCCACCCCCCACCCCCCCTCTCTCTCATTGTACATCTCCCACATCTTGTTTGTTTCTCTCTGCAGGCCGTCTTTCTCTGCCTGCTCATCAGCAGCAAGGAAATACGCCTCGGAGGGCTGGAGTAATGCGAAAGGCATCAACGCCTCGGCAGTACTTTATCTTCCAGCCCTGCCTGGGGAGGACCCAAGGGCCATTCTTCTCATCTTCTGGCTTCAGGATCTGGGGCCTCCTGGCAGAGTCTAGGATTGACTCACTCCTGCCCAGGTCCTACTTATTTCTGGAAGGTGAGTACAAGTTCAAGAGAGTATCTTGGAAGCACTCCCATTGACCTAGAATCCGGCCATTAAAAGCCCAGGAGGTATAATGGGAGAAGCAGAGGAGGAGTGGTTTGCCCTACTGGCCCCCTTTCCGTTATGTGGACATAAGATCCATGGCCTCTGGTTTAAACGACTGAGGCCCAGAGAAGCCGCTTGAGGGAGAAAGAGGCTGAAAGTGTCCCCTGCTTGGGTCTTGAGCTCTCCGTGCAGTGATCAGAGCTGAGCAGAAGATGGAGCCAAACACCTTGGAAACCTAAACAGTGTTACTGTGTGGGTTATTTCCAGAGCTACAGGTGCAGAAAGTAAACCAGGAAGGCAGTGGCAGATGGGCTCAGGGTCTCTCAGCGGCAGGGCTGGGATCCAACCCCCATCTCCTGCGCCTGGGAACAACAGGTATCCTTCTACCCCTCTCTCCTCTCTGCGTGTGTCACAGGATTCTGGTCAAGCCAGGTTTGTTCCCAGATGCCCTGATCTATTTATAGTTCTTTTGTGTTAGGTTGATGGGGGCTGGAGAGGGCCCTGAGGGCGGCACAGTGAACTTCAAGTGGTTGGGCTCAGGGTTTTCATGCGTTTCCTGAGTGGATAGGCGACATGTCAAACACTGGATATTTGACCCTCTCCTTTTCCCACCCACCCATCCACCCACTCCACAGCTGTGTTGACTTTGGGCGATCTGTTTCTCATCTGTAATTTAGAATGATGATACTACAGACCTAATGGGTTGTTTGTGGGGTTACAGGAAAGAACTGCGAACAGCTCTGAGCACCGTGACTGAGGTATAGCAGGGGCTCAATAAATTATAGTATTAGGGTTTTGTTGTTGCTAGGGACACTATATCAAAAATCACCTAAATGAAACCACAGAGCAAGGATGAATGTGATAGGCTTGACTCGTGTAAGTGGACAAGTTCATCGTGTGACAGCCCTTCACTCGCTCGCCCCTGACAGCCCTTTTTCTCCCGGGCGCCCATGGCAGCTGGTTCCCGCAATTAATTGAAGCGTTTCTTCTCTTTCTTGGTGATCATCTCCTGGCTCTGTGGGACAAGGAGAAAAGAATTCAGACCTTGCCCAGGAGATAAGGCAGGGGTGGGGGCTGCACGGCCAAAGCCGGTGGGAGCTCCAGGGAAGTCACAGGGGGATCCCAAGCCCCGACCTCCTTCACACCCTGAATTCCTCCAGAATTCAGTTGTCATTCCCTGCTGTTTCCATCTCACTCTCTGCTCCAGGTGAAACGCCCTCGTCCCTTTATGCCTTGGACCTTCTCCTACAGATTTATCAGGGCCTGTCAGAGAACTTTGTCTCCTCAGAGCCCACGCTCATCACTGGCTTCCAGCACACGGCTCTCTGGTGTCTGCTTTTGCAGGTCTAGATGTTGCTCCAGAGAGACCCAAAGCTCTTTTAGAGACAGGGATGGCACTTTCTCCCCTTGTCTCCTCCGTAATGTCCGGCTTAAGGCCAGGAACTCAGCCTGCTTAGGGCAGTGGAAGGAGCACTGTGCTAGGAATCAAAAGACCCTAGTCTGAGGCCCGGCTCTGCTCTCACACCTGTCTGCCTCTGGGCACTCCCTCCTGCCATCCTGGGGTGACATCAGCCATTCAGCCAGAGCCTCCCAATGAGTTCGCTTCTGCCCTGGGATTTGGCAGTTCTGGGACCAACCCCACTCTGCTCTGACTCTTGGGGTGACCTCTGCCCAGTCCCTTCTCCCTTGAGGACTCAGTTTCCCTGGTGCTTTGGTGCGCTGCGAGTCCTGCCCACAGGCGGGTGCCTCTTACCAGCCCTCGTGCAGTCTCCTCATCGCTGCTGCTGCTGCTGCTACTGCTGCTGCTGCTGCTGCTGCTATCACCCTCACTGCCTTTGTCCTCCTGCTAGGGAGACACGATGCCAGTGTGGAAGTCCTGGGGCTGCGCCAGGTTCTCCCCCAGCATCCTGTGCGCTCACTGTCCTCAGAGGACTTCCCCTCTCCTCCAGACCCTACTCGGTAATTTAACGTAAGTGGGTTTGGAATCCCCCCATATGGCCATTTAACATTGCCTCGTTCATTCACAAAGCACTGAAGTCACTTCACAGTTAGCCAACAACTTGATCCCTGGGTCCTCTTATCCCTGAGCAGAGCCAGCTCCTCATATCCCGGGACATCTGCCTGCCAGGAACAGCGCAAACCTGGACAGCACAGTTGCCCCAGATGGCGTCTCCACAGGAGCTGGTGGCTGTGAGCAGGTCAAGCCCCATTTCCCGACTGTTCTGACCCAGCAGGGGTACAAGAGCCTCACCATCTGCTCCCCCTTCTGCTGCTCCTCACATGGTTTAGTCTTCAGCCTCCTCTTCTCTATCTGCCGCTCCTTCTCTTTGTCATTATCTTTGCCAAACCCTGGAGCGTGGGGTGGAGGAAAAGCGGGCTCAGGTGAGAGGCTGGCTTGACGGTTGTGACCTGAAATTCTCAGGGCCGGCTTCCTGCATGGTCACCTCTCTCTTTTCCCCTCCTCCTGTTGCACATGCAGTTGTTCTGTTTTGTTTTTTTGTTTTGTTTGTTTTTTTCCGCTTTCTCAAAGCATTTTCACACCTACGAGTATTATTCTATTTAAACCTTGCTGCCATTCTCAGAAGTGGGTATGAAACAGATTATGGACCCATTTTACAGAAAGGGGAACTGAGGTCTGGAGAAGGCAAGTAACATCTCTAAAAACATACAATGACATTGGTGCCATGGTGTGACTGAAATCTTGGATTGCTTCCTCCCATCCAGGGTCCTTCCCCAACCAAGTAGAGCGTGATTGCTGTTGAAGAAACGTGCCCCCAATCAACATGGAGTGGTGCCCTATAGTTAAGTTCTTCCCCCAGGAGGGACCTCGAACCTCTGATAAGCACTGCACACGCTGGGGGCTCCTATGGGCTGCACAAAGGGATGCTGGTCACCTGGTGTACGTAATGACAAGTGAGTGACCATGCGCATGCACGTGACATGCATGAGCTCATCCATGCAAACTTTAACAACTCACAGATGTAAGTGAGTGGCCATTTCTGCCTCTAGCTGCCATGGCCTCTGACCCCAGTATTATTGGTCTGTGACTCCAAACTTCCTGATAAACATTTTTTTTCTGTAAATCCTAATCAGACCTCTGGTGACTCTGGGGAAGAGTTTCTGCTGAGCTGGCCCCTTGTCCCACCATGACCCAAGTCACAGTCTCCTGACGGACATGCCGAGGATACAGAGAAAAAAAAAAAATCCAATGCAAGCAGGCACTCACACTTTAGGATAGAATCCATTATGACTGAGATATCTTCTGTGCACACCAACCTGAGAATAGAATAACAGCAGCTGGCATCTTCCTGACACATTACAGAGTGCAGAGCACACTGTCTTCTATGATGGGCACATCAGCCCTCTGAGGTCCCCATGGTCAGTGCACAGGACAGAGGAGGAAACAGAGGCCCAGGGAGGTGAATTTCCCAAGAACCCACAGGGAGGCAGTGCTCACCGCGTTCCCTTTGGCTACAAACCTCAGCTATCTCCTGACAAAAGGAGATGAGTCAGGCGGAGACCCAGGGTCGGCTGCAGAGTAAAGGCCCTTTCACAATCCATAAGCTCTTGCTGTTTTCTATTCTCTGTCTCCCTCAGCAAGGCTTTGGCCTCAAAGGGCTCCCCTTCTTGGACAGAGTCCCCAACAAGGAGGATGCCTCTAACACAGGGAACACAGGCTCCAGGGGCCCACAGCCCTGGACACCTTGTTTTGAAGACAGAGCAAGGGTCACTAGGACCTGCCCCTCCATTCTCCATGATGCCATCTCGCTGCCCATCAAAGCCTGGAGGAACTGGACTTTCTCTGGGTGGCCTTAGTGGATAGAACTAGGAACAGTGGGTGAAATGTATACAGAGGCAGATTCCAGCTCCACACAAGGCAGAACTTTCTTAAAGTCAGAGCTGTTCTAAAATGGAATAGGCCGTCTCCTGAAGTGGTGAGCTTCCCAACACTAGGGGCAACCAACTGGCTAGGAATATCATAGCACAGAGTTCCTCAAAGTGTAGCCCACCTACCTCAGCATGAGTGGTCTGGGAGGATTCTCAAAGGGGCAGATTCCTGGGACCCACTGAATCAGACACTGAGAGCAGGCCCAGGAATCTGCCTTTTGAACAAGCCACCAGTGGGTTCTGATGTAGGATTCTGACTCACAAATGAAAGTCTGAGATTTTAGCTCTAGAAGAATACTGGATGGAATTTGCTCCCTTTCATCTCTGAACTTCTATGATTCTAGCGTTCTATGAAATATATGTCTTCCCTGGGTGTTTATGTACAATAAGGTGCATCCTGAAGACAAATGACTTTTCAGATACAAAGTTACCACTCCATGATGGAAGACAGACAACAGAGGAGATAGTTGGGGGCAGGCAGACAGACCACAAAGGCAGCTGTTAATCCTGCCTGCTTCTCTCCCTAGTCCTGACCTGAAGTGACAACCTAACATCCTAGGTCCCTGGCTATTTAAGACTCAGTGGTCCCATCTAATTTCATCTCACTTCCCTTGCATCCCAGGCCCAAATTCCATAGTCTCAGGAATCAAATTGAACAGAGAAAAACATCTACTTACCGATCTGAAGCTGGAAGGCAAACTGCTCTGTCTGTGCTCGGCTAGCAAATGCTTTCTGGGGCCCTCTCTAAAGTTTTTATACTCTCTCCCCTTCTGGTTTTCAGCCCGGAAGTGGACAAACTGGTTGTACAAATGTCCTCAGGCATCACAGTCAGACCATGGCAAATGTTTCCAGCCAGCGCCTGGGGCCCAATCCCGCCCCCACCACCCGCCTCCCTCCCTCACCCCTTGATCTCCCTGTCAGCTTCAGGGCGTACTTTCCGAAAACTGGACACACTCTGCCAGCCTTAACAATGCTCTCCCCTCAGACCCAGTAATGCGGCTTCCAGAAATAATCATGTACGTATTAAAAGATGTGTATACAATGGTATCAACTTAGAGCATTAGCAAAATAATAAAGAAAACAGAATATTGGCTGACTCATAGATAGCACTTACTTGTTTCATTTCCTAAATGCTATTCCTATATCAATTTATGAAATGAATTAAATCCTCATAGTGACCGATGAGCCAGGTTTTATGATTATCCCCAGTTTAGAACTTGTACATCGACTTTCAGTAAATGAAAAACCATTGGAAAAAACTCAGTGTCTAAGGATAGGGGGTTCGTCCGATAAATTATGGAGTGTCCTTAAAATAGATTATGAAACTCTTATAAATAAAATAAGGTTAAAAAGTATTTAATGAGCCACAAACATGTTTGGTAATATAAAAAAAGAAATGAAATTATATTCTATATGATTAAATTTTGGGTGAGTGGGAATACGAAAGAAAAAATACCATGGGAGGACCTTGGCAGGAAAGGCATTCCAAACCCTGCATGTAGCTGGGGTTTGGAAAGCTAGGTAGGGGACTAGGGCAGGCTGCTCCCCGCTGGAAGCTGCGTGAGCTGCTGTCACTCACAATTCCCAGGTAAGGAGGCCCAGAGGGGGCATCTTGAGATACTCAGCATTGACTGAAAGTCTAAAGATCCCTGTTAGCTTTTGACTGTTACAAACTACAGGGTGAGCATAGCCAAGTCCTATCCCCTCTCTGGGCCTCAGTTTCCCCATTTGTACAAAGATGGTGATAACACCTTCCCTGACTCTCCCATTAGCCAGGCTGGAGATGCAACGCTCAAGTGAAGGCTTGAGATATGGGACTCCTAAGGGGACCAGGGAGCAAAGCTGGGGCTCTCTCTACTGACCATTTACTGAGTTCTTAATACGGGCCAGAGACTATGCTACAGGCTCACAAAGCACATTCAGGGTCAGCTTCGTGGGTGTGCGACCTGTACAATCACACAAGGCACATGCTCAGAAGGGCCTACACTTGGAGGCTCACTGCACTGTGGTCGCCATCTTGAAATGCTTAATAATTTTAGGTTTGGATTTAGCTCCTATAAGCAAAGTCAGATGGGACAATGAAACGTGCTGGGGGCTAAACGCCTCGGCTCACCCATGGCACTATTCGCTTAGTCTTGAGGTGGGGCCTCAGGCCACTGTGAGGGTCTGCACTCACCCAGCAAGTGTCTCTGTGGGTGAGGAAGCACACACTCCATAGCAAATAAAAAAGCAATGACAGGCCAAGAGAGGGACCATGGAAGAAGGTACAAAGCTCTATTCCTGCATTTTGAACAAGGAACGCCACATTCTCTTTGCACTGGAGCCTGCAAATTAAGTAACCAACCCTGGATATATTTAAAACATCTCTATAAGGGATGTGCTCATTTTATTCCATTTCACAGGCAAGAAAGTTGCGCTTACAGGGTCCTTGCCCAAGGCAGCAAAACTGAAGTAGCTTAGACAGAATTTAAACCCAGGTCAACTTGATCCCAGAGCCTGTGACTCTGACACTGCGCTGCTGGCAGTGAGGAGGCTGCATGGGTGGGGAGCCCCTCCAGAGCTGTAGCCACTCAACCACAGTCAAGGTCACCATGGTTCACACACCAAGGTCAGCCTCTTACCTGGACATAGAAGGCAGAGCCCACCTGGGGATGGTGAGGGGATTAGGAAAACCCTCACACCTCAAAATACTCTATCAGCTGAGGGGTGCTTGCCTGATCCTCTAGGTTAACCGTTTCATCAGGCCGAAGAGGTTCTCCAAAAAGCCCACAGGGAACTCATTTCAGCAGAGCCACCTACAAGTTGAGTGACCTTGGTCACTCCTCTAGACGCCTCAGACCTCAGGTGCCTCATCTTAAAATGGGAGTGGAAATGCTTATATGGAAGTTCCTTACAAATGAAAGGTGTACTGCTGTCACCAGACACCACCCGACTTCGCCTGCGTCGGCAAGCACTGGCCAGAAGTTGGCTCTTTTTACTGTACTGATGGTTTTTCGATGCGAGAGCTGATGTATTATAGGCAACTGGGGAATAGAAATGTAGCAACTGCATCTTCTGGGGGCTGGAGATCGGGGGGCGGGGGGGGGCTCCAAATGCTTTGTTCAAGATTCCAGATCTCTTCCTACCACACTCTCTACATTAAATCTCTAAGCAAAACTCATTATTCATTAACTGGATGGGGGCGGGGCAGGGAACTGAAGTCCAACCTGCAGCTTTGACTGCGGGATGAAGGAAATAAGCAGAATCCAGCAGGTTTGAACTGGTTGGGTGGCTGGAATGAAGTTTGGTCACAGTTTACTTCACCGGGCAGCCGCATTCCTCACTCACAAACCAGAAATTTAGGGTTCCTCAACTAGGAAGCATGACCACCAATGGGGACATCAAGGGCAGAGGGCAGGAGGGGAGCAGATTCTGAACTGGCATTGCGTTCCCAGGGCTTTATCACCCTACCCTCACTCTGGAAGGTAGGGTATTACTGTTCACATTCTATGTGGAGGCAACACTCTTGGAGTGGGTAGCCATTTACTCAAGACTATCTTTTGACATTCTAGGCCTTATGGTGCCATTCTCCTTAAAGTGCCATCATATATTGGGTTGTCAGAAAAGTCATGACGCATTTTTGCAACGAAAAACATAGAAAAAATACGTCATGACTTTTCCGACAACCCAATACATTAAAGAGATGAACAAGATGTCACGAGGCAAACAGAGCCAGATCTTAATACTCCCATCTTATGGGTGAGGAAACTGAGATTTCCCCCCTCTCAAAAAAAAAACCCACAAAAGGACTAAAGCCAGAAGCCCAGTTTCTCCACTCTCAGCCTCCATGAGGTCCCAGAGCCTCACCACGAAGACAGAAACAAATCCAGCTTGCAGATTATCAGGAAGCTTTTTGGGCCTCGCATCCTCTGACATGTTAGCCATACTCTCAGAGCTCACACTGATGGAGTGGTGACTACGGCCAAGCACATGTGTACATCACCTCATCCAACTCTGTGAGGCAGGTGCCATCCCCATTTCACAGACCATGAAACCGAGGTGCGGAGAGGTTGAACAATTCACCAGGTCATGCAGCCAGTAAGAGGTGGAGCCAGGATGTGAGCTGAGGCTACCTGACTCCAGAGCTCGCCCGCCCTCTGAAACATTTTGCTGTTCCTCCTCCTTCGGTGGGGAGTGGGGAAAGGATTGCAAGTCAAAGGGGAATTTAAATGGCCACTGACAGTGATGGGTCTGCCTATTCTAGGTAGCAATGTTCCTTCACCCCAATTCCATTTGAGTGGCCCCTCTTTTAAGCTATGCCAACCCTGAAGATATAGGGGAACCAAGAACCAGTCAAAAAGGTCTCCTCCTTAAATTCTGAGGAACTACAAGATGCAGAAGAAAAACCTTATCAGTATTTTTTGTTTATCGTGTATTCTCTCTCCTCTAGCATTGGATCTTGGTATCTCCCTTCCACCTTGGCCATGAGTGCATCCTGGCCTGTAGTCCTTTCTAGTTCCTTAACTAGAAAAGCACCAGCTGCTTTTCCAGGTGGGCGTTATGTGCACTTGAATGAGCCGGCACACAGACATTTTATTTATCCCCTGGCCTGTGTTTTAGGTAATCAAAAGAGGCAGGTTATACTATGCAGTCAACCAACAGGACTCTTTAGAGGCCCAAACGCTATTGGAGAGAAAGGGCTTGTTTTTCACATTCAATCAGGATATAATGGGAAGGCCTAAGTTAAGTCACGTCCCTTTGAAGGGTGAAAAATCATTCAGTTACCTCTCTGTCCCTCAGCCTGCCCAAGCTTATCATTTAACCCGTAGGGCAAAATTGGTAGAGCTTGAATTATTTCTTTACTCCGCCATGTTGAGTTCAGGTCAGAATGAGCTCATTGGAGCCGTGGAGAATCCAAACCCACTGGCCTGATCTCTTTTGGCTGAGAACCAAGACGTGGTCAGTGCAGTGGTTATGAAAACAGGCAGAGCAGGTAGTGAATCTGTTCCACTGCCTTCACTGTGTGACCTCAGGCTCATGTCCTAACTTCGGCAGGCCACAAGTGTCCTCATCTGTAGCTAGAGAGAACAGTTCCGGCTTTGAGGGGCTGTTGTGACGATAAGTGAAATAACGCATTTAAAACCGTCAGCACAGTGGCCTGGCATGGAATAATCACTCAATTAATATTAGCTATTATCGTTGAGAGTAATAGATTGAAAGTGTCTCCCTATCAATCCTGTGAGTTAGGGGCTGAGCCAGAATTGAAACCCAGCTGTCCTGGGTAGCTGCTGTCAAAACCTTTGCTTATAAACGGCTTTTGTTTAATTTCTAATGCTTCTTTCACCTGTTTGATACAGGATATGGCTTTAGTGATGCTGAAAACATAATTCTATAAACCTCTTTTCCACTAAATTGGTATATTTCAATGAAGCATGATATATCAGATTTGTCCAGGAAACCTTCTCAAACTCCTGCATTCCTCTCACCTCACTTTGAAGCCTGCTACCAAAGTACCTGATTGTGAAGAGAAGCCAGATAGAGCCACCCTTGCCACCATTCCTACTTCTGAGTGCCTGTGAAAGGGACATTCACTTGGGGGAGAGGACCCCTAGGTCTTTGTTAAATCCAGGAAGTGGGCGTTTCCTCCCTCTGACTCCCTAGGCCCAAAGCCTTCCTCCAGCAACACAAGAATCCCTCCTGTGGCCCTGTTAAAACCATATCTGCCTACCCCCACCCCCAACCGCCCTTCCTAATCCCTGGCAACTATTAATCAGTTCTCCATGTCTGTAATGTTGTCATTTCACTGTTATAGAAATGGACTTATACAGCATGTAATATTTCGGGATTGGATTTTTTTTCACTCAGCATAATTCCTTGGAGTTTCATCCAAGTTCTTACATGTATCAATAGTTTGTTCCTTTCAATTGCTGAGTAGTAATCCATTGTGTGGATGTACCCCCGTTTGTTCAATCACCCACCCAGTTGAAGGACACCTGCATAGTGTCCGGTTTGGGGCTATCACAGAAAAAGCCACGAACATTCATGTACTCCTCTCCTTTTGGTCACTGATTCATACAGATGCTCTGACTTCACTGAGGTCTCTGTTCCTGCTGTTGCAAACATGACTTGTCACCACACTGTCCTTTCTACGCCAATTTCTAGGGGCTTTGGATAATCTGCCCAGATGCTCCCCTAGACAGGCACCTCCAAGCTTTTCTCCTAGAAGAAATAAAATAGAACAAACGATACAAGTTTGGAAGCCAGACAACCTGGGTTCACACCGCAGGGGCTCTGCCATTTACTGTTGTGAAATCTCAAGCAAGTCACTTAACTCTCTGAATCAGCTTCATACTCATCATCATCAAGTAGCTAATAGTTGTTTTCTTCACTCACAGCTTATAGAGGCAGTGTAATGTAATAGGTCAAAACAGGGAGTCTGATACTACAAGCAACTTATTTAACCTCTCTGTGCCTCAGTTTTTCCATCTGTAAATAGGCATGCTAATAGTTCCTATCTCATGATGAGGCTTAAATTAATACATGCAAAGTGTTCAGAACAGTGCCTGGCACAGTGTCTACTATGCATTAGCTCATATTGCTATGTGGCCGGCACTAATCTAAGCACTTCACACAGGTTATTTCATTTAATCCTATCAATGACTTTATAATACAAGTGCTGTTATGAGATCGACTTTATAGATGACAAAACTGCAATTTACGGGATTAAGTCACTTGCTCATGAACATT